CGGGGTCAATTCAGCTCCTGCGTGGGCATACAAATTGACCGGAAGCTAGCTGTCACGCCCTAATAAACCTCGCTATTGCTCTGGTACATGGTGTCTCGAGCAGATTACTGGGTGGTCGCGACTTTCTGAGACTTGAGTGAGGGTCTCCCCTCTGCGGAGGTCTTCAAGACAATTATCCTTTAAAAGAAATTTATTAGGAGGGTCATATCATCAATGTCATAGAGAAAAGAATGGGGTCCTGATGAGAGAGCCTTCAGTTCAAGAATGACAAAGGTCAACTTTCTCTTACAAATGTCTGCAAGGGTGGAGAGCTCCACACCATGTGATCTGTTCTGGGAAGTGTAGGAGTCAGAGGCAGAAGGCACTAGATGAGAGAGTAAATTTGTAATTCAAAGTTACACTGGTCTGGAGCAAGTGGTGGTGCTGAAGGATTGGGGGGGGTGGGAGTGTGTGCAAGGTCATGGTAGTTGTTATCTGTCTGCTGCTTGAACAGAGGCTTCAATGGGTGGGGACTGATTTGGTTGGGTGGGGTCTATGATCTAACAGTAATGTGTGCCTTTACATGCATGGTATGCATATTCCTATGTGCACACATGCAGAGGCTGGCACCCACATGGGAGTCAATATCAGGTGCCTTCCTCACTCAGTTCCTATAGGACCGAAATAGGATGATTTGGTCTCCAGTAGAGCACTGGTTTTGAGATAGCCAGAGACTCAACGGGTGTCCATTGCCTGTGCAGGGACAGCACAAATCTTGCCACGCCCCTGGATTCCAGATTCCTGACACACGGTCTACATCTCCATTAACCTGCACCTTGCAGTCACATTTGGCTAAGCAGCCCCTCCCAGAGAGGTTTGTGTCTCCATCCACACACAGGTAGAGGGCGTAACTACAGGCTTCAGCCTCAAGAGATTTCCATATTCATAAGTTACCTAAAGGCCAGAGGGCGTGGCTAATTAAGGTATTCCTTCCCAGATCCTTCCTTCTCCTCCTCCCTATTTAAGCCAGCTTCCCCCTGGCTTAAACTGGGGGGTGCGCATCTAGACTATTGCACACCGTGAACAATAAAGCTTTGGAACCCATGGACTTTCTCGTGTTACTGGGGCCTGCCACCATGGAAAGCTACCCTGGGGTTCCAGCCACTGGGACCCCACAAGTCTCCACTTTATTAGTTGTGTGTATTATGTGTATGTATACACATGTGTGTAGGCCAGAGACAGATCATTCTTCACCTTATTTTTTTGAGACAGAATATTATTGAACCTAGAACTCACAGATTAAGCTACACTGGCTGCTGGATTTCAGAGCACAGAGTAAAGAGACAGAAAGCAGAAAGAGGCCAGAAGCACTTGGGAGGCAGAGGCAGGTGGATTTCTGAGTTCGAGGCCAGCCTGGTCTACAGAGTGAGTTCCAGGACAGCCAGGGCTACACAGAGAAACCCTGTCTCGAAAAACCAAAAAACAAAAAAGAAAGAAAGAAAGAAAGAAAGAAAGAAAGAAAGAAAGAAAGAAAGAAAGA